GGGCTGGAGAGATGGCTCAGTGGTTAAGAGAACTGGCTGCTCTTCCAGAGGTCCTGGGTTCAATTCCCAGCACCCACATGGCAGTTTATGAGCAGATGCCCTCTTCTGGTTTTCGGGCATACATACAGACAAAGCACCTGTGTACATAACAAATACATCTCAAATAAATCAATAAACAAGGGTCCTAATCTCATTCACAAAGCCTTCACCCTCATGACCTCGTCACCTCCCAAAGTTTCCTACCTCCTAATCCCAACACATTCTGCATTCGATTTCAATGTATGAATTTCTTTTCACCCTCCATACACTCTGTGTGTGTATGTTGCATCCATGTGAGTCTGCAGGTGTACGTGCCTGTGCCTGGGAATGTAGAGGCCAAAGGAAGACATCCGGTGTCTTCTCTCACTCCCCTCTTTACTGCTGTCTTAGTCAGTGTTCTGTTGCTGTGAAAAAACACCACCGTGACCCTGGCGACTCTGATAAAGGAAAGAATTTAACTGGGGCTGGTTTAGAGTTCAGAAGTTTAGTCCATTATCGTCATGGAGGGAAGCATGGCGGCACACAGGCAGACACGGTGATAGAGAGGAGCGGGGGTTCGACAGCTTGATCTGCAGGCAGCAGGAAGAGACACTGAGCCTGTCTTGAGCATTTGGGACCTCCAAGCCCACCCCCAGTAATGCGCGACCTCCAAAAGGGCCACACCTACTCCATCAAAGTCACGTCTCCCCTGGAGCCTATGGGGGCCAATGACATTCAAACCACCACAGTTGCCTTGAGACAAGATCCCTCACTGAACCAGACTCAGCTAGGTTGGCTGACCAGTGAGCTTCAGGGTATGCTTGTCTCTACCCCTTCCTCCCCACAGTGCTGGGGTTACGGGCATGCGTAGGCGTGCCAGATGTTTTCCTCAAGGCTTCTGGGGATTCAGTTGGGTCCCCGTGTTTGTGCGGCAAACATCGTCACCCACCGAGCTGTCTCCTCAGCCCCTCAATATGTGAGTTGTGAAGGGACAGGAACAGTCAGACCACAGCAGACAGCGAGGAGAAAAGCAGCTGACCCTCATCTTCCATCACGAGTGGGAAGAACCGTGGGCTGACATGACCAGCCATTGAGTCAGGGCATCTATTCTGGGATCCCTCGAGAAGGATGTGGCCCAGCTAGCTAGTGAAGATCAGCAGGCAGTTATGTGAGCCTGCCACCTGATGTCTCAGTAGTTAAGAAGACTTATTTCTCTTGTGGAGACCCCGGGTTCAGTTCCCAGCACCCACACAACGGCTCAAAACTGTCCATAACTCCAGTTTCAGGGGTCCAACACCCTCGTTTGGACTCCTAGGACACCAGGCACACACACGGTGTCATACATACATGCAGGCAAAACACTCATACACATGAAATAATGTAAATAATTTTTTTTGATGTTTAATAATATGGTCACACTCCTTTCAAAAGAAAAAAATTGAGCAGGGCAAAAGTTTGGCGATCCGTCTGTTCATTGGCAAATTGCCCTGTTGAACTTACAGGAGGCAATTGTTTCTGACTGGTTCTTGCACTGAGAACCCAACGGGTCTGGAGTCCACTGGGGAAACCACCAATGAAAATGAACTTTGAAATTAGTCAGTTTTCTAAAAATCAATAAAAACCTGGAGATTCACAGTGGTCCTTCAGAAGTAGCCTACTTTGCCCAAGCCAGCGGAAGAAAGATCTTGTGGCATGATCAGGAAAGGAACTTTGAAATAACCAACCCGCTTAAAAATGTTTCATTACATGTATTTATTTGTTTGTACATGTGAGTAAAGAAAAACAAGAAAGCGTTATTTTCTGTGTCACACTTAAAACTCTTAAGTTTCATGCCTTCTAACTGACGAGCAACATTTGAACCCCGGACGAAAGCGCAGCGGGATGTTGACAGCACCAATATTCGGGCTTCAGCTTTTCACCCAGCTGGAGAAAATGTTGACGCCCAGAACAATTACATCGGGGTCTCTTGAGGTATCGCCGCCCCAGTGCGTATGTCTTCCAAAGCTCCCAGGGGAATCTTCATGCAGCTGTGGCTGAGAACAGCTGGACTAAGCCACAGGTATAAAGGGACGGAGGCTTAAAGTGGCTCCTTTGCTTTTCTGCCCTCCCCTCCCCCACTCTCTTACCAGGCAGGCGATATCGCCATCTGCATGCAGAGATAGAGAAGTATCTTAAGGTTCACTGGGTTGGCTTCAAATTCCTGCATGGCCGTGCCTAGTAGCTGGGACTACAGGCCTGTACCGACATGTCAGGTTGGGCCACCCTAACACACACTTCTGCTGGCCTCCTGCTCACTATTTATGCATGTATCTGTGTGCCTTTCTGACAAGTTGGATAAATTTGTGCTTTATAACCAGCTCTAAGCACAGTGCCTGCTGCTGAGTATTTGTTTGGTAAATATGTATGAGGGATGGGAACGCGGCTCAGTGATTGCCTAATGTATGTGAAGGCCTGGGTTCAGTTGGACCCCAGGAAGGAAGGGAGGAAGGAAGGGAAGGAGGAAGAGAGAGAGGGAGGAAGGAAGGAAGGAAGGAAAGAAGGAAGGAAGGAAGGAAGGAAGGAAGGAAGGAAGGAAGGAAGGAAGGAAGGAAGAGTGTATACATATACATTACAAATACACATACATATATGTCATAAGCCAGTTTCAAAGTATCCCCTGATAGATGGTGAAAACTGAAAGGCTTTCTCCTTCTCATACTGATTTACCGCTCCGCTTCTCCCACATCACCTGAAACTTCTGTCCTTTTGTCCTGACGCTGGTTCTTCAGCATTAGCATTAGACCCTCACTGTGGAGGCCAATGATAAACATTCCCCTGGTTACTCCTAAGTTGGCTGCAAAGCCAAAGCTCCTCGGGACTGACAAGTTGCTGGGGTGTTCCCAGGACACCGGAAAAGCTCTTTACTTTCTGTGGCTGCTTTGTTATAAAAGATCAGCAAATGGAAGAAATTCGCAAGGCATGGTATCGGAGGGACAGTTCGTGGGGCTCGGCAATAAATTCAGTCTCTAGCCTCTCTCCTCTCCCAGAGGCGTGATGTAGGAAGTCTGATGAAGTTCTAGGCTCTTGTATAATATTGGAGGGACCAGCTTTGATATTATAGATCCCAGGGGCTCAGGAAAGAAACTGCAAATGGCGAGGACTGTTTTCAGGAAATAGAATCTCAGCACACAGAGCTCTTTAGTCCGTTCACTTTAATTCTCCCTTCTGTCTCTAGCTTTACAGTTATATACCCAAAATATCACAGTCCTCCTCTCCAGCCAGGTCACCAGGCCTGAATTCCTGTGTGGTCATAAAGGCGGGTAAGAGTTTCCTCAGGCAGTGATTGTCAGGCTTCCAGGGTCCAATGGAGGGGTGATAAGAGTCACACAGAGGGGCAGTAATTGCTAATTATCATTTGCAACCCAAAGGGGAAGTGACTAATGAATTAACTAAAGGCTAAATTTGGGTATTATCTAAGAAGAGGGATCTTATGTGCTCCACTATAGTCTCAAACGTGATTGGTAGAAAATGTTAAGAATCTGTAAGTTGCTAGGTCAATGGGAGAAAATAAAACTGCCTTCTTTTTTCTTGTGGCTCCTATCTGTCCAAGCTATCTGCTGTTTTTCTTCAGGGTGGGGGAAAGTGTGTTTGGTCGCTAGGCAACCTGTGTACAGGTAGATGCCTCTGGTGATAGTTAAAGGGATATCTGGAACTAGAGGTAAGATTTGGGAAAGGAGGAAGTTAAGCTTAATTGGCACATCCGCCAGACCTTCTCAAACAGGTAGTCTGGACCTTAAGTCTGTTCTCAGAGAGTACAGAGGTGTCTCTGATAAGGTACTTTCCTCCGTCTGGGGATGGACCTGGCCGGATGCTGCCAATGACGATAATTACAGGGAGGCTTGAACTGGGGTTCTGGCTGAGCATAGCTGTCAGCGCACAAGGTTATCTAAATATTCCTTTAGTAGAGGGGAAATGGTGCCCAATCAATGATGGGAAAGCTACAACAGCACACAAGAAACCCATAGCAGGAAACGGCTGATAATCAAAAGCCAATATCACCAAGGCTCCTTGAGCCTCAGCTTGACCTCTGGAAGGCCCTTGGCTTCTTCCAGGTGTTAGCTTTGTCATCATCTGCTGAGATCCTACTTTGTATATTTTTGCTGCTGGCAGCACCCGGCTTCTGATCAAAGGTTTTGATCAAAGTCCTGAAAGCTGTCTGGGGCCTCAAATACTAGTTGTCATGGTAACCTACAAAGAAACACTTATGACTCTAGAGATTGTATTCTAGAACCTGGGAGCCAAGAGCCAAGGAAAAGACAGCTGGGCAGTGGTGGCGCACGCCTTTAATCCCGGCACTGGGGAGGCAGGAGGATCTCCAGGTTCAAGGCCAGCTGGGTCTACAGAGTGAGTTCCAGGGCTACACAGAGAACCCTGTCTTGAACAAACAAACAAACAAACAGAAAACGCTGACAAAAATCAAATCTTAACTTCTATTATAACACACACACACACACACACACACACACACACACACACACACAATGTGGGTATGTAGGCATATATAATACCACTCAGAGAAAAAATAATTCTGTCCGATGGAGCAAGGTTATGACTGAATAGAACAAAGGTCAATAAAATCCATGCCCTTACCCAGGTTATAGGCAGCAGCCTCCTGCCTCCTACTCCATTTCTACCCCTTCACCTCTACAATGTGTTGTTCCATCCCAGACAGACAGCCAGGAAGCAAGGAGAAACCTATAGCTTTGAATCCTACAGGCCAGTGAGAATAATAGAGATACAATTTTAGCCAGGCAGCGGTGGTGCACAGTTTTCATCCCAGAGGCAAGTGGATCTGTGTGAATTCGAGGCCAGCCTGGTCTACAGAGCAAGTTCCTGGACAGTCAGAACTACATAGAGAAAAGAAAGATGCAATTTTAGCTGCATTTTTTTTTTCTTCCCGAGGCAGGGTTTCTCAGTGTAGCTTTGTAACCTTCCAGGAACTCACTCTGTAGCCCAGGCTGGCCTTGAACTCACAGAGATCCACCTGCCTCTGCCTCCCGAGTGCTGGGATCAAAAGGATGCACCGCTGCTGCTACCACCACCACTGCCGCCACCTGGCTGAGCTGCATTTCTTTAGCTACATAGGAAGCCTGTCTAGAAGAAAATATGAACAGCTCCCATCCTCCCACCCTCAGGACCAAGAAGAGTCTTTCCCTGAGGCCCGAGGCCAAGTTCCTGAGTAGGAGGAATGCCTAAGAGCACCTGCACTGTCCAGACCAGTCCCAAGGTAGACTTGATTCCTGAGAATCTATGACTGACATTTTAACACTTACTTAAATAGTAACTTCCGGGGGGGGGAGGGGAGAGGAGGAAAAGAGAGAGGAGGAGAGGGGAGACTGAGAAAGTGGGAGATTTCACAAACCACAACAACCACTAAACCCAGAACCAGTCAAGTGATGGTGAATTTGATAGTTCTTTATTTCAAGAATGTGTACACAAGCCACGAATGGTAAGAGGCTGAGGCAGGAGGATAGCCAGTTTGAGATAAGACAAGGCTACAGGGTGAGACCTGTTCTCAAAATTAAAAAAAAAAAAGAAAATGAAAAAGGAAAGAAGTGAAGGAAGGGAGAGAGAAGGAGGGAGGGAAAGAGGGAGGGAGGGAAAGAGGGAGGGAGAGAGGGAGGGAGGGAGAAAGGGCTCACATACACTTGCCTGGGGAATAAATGACCAGAAATAAATGACAAGTTCAAGACCTTATTTAAAGACCATTTAAGTGTATTACAGCTTTTAGGATTGGATATGGAGGAACAGGTGTGTTAAATAACCTTCATTTCTAAAATGACTCAGATGCATGATTGATTTAATAGGTGATAGTCAGTGCTTGACGTCTCCCAGGCTGGTTCTAAACACGTGCACGTACCGCTGCAGATAGCCACCAACTAGATTCAAAGCCACAACACAAAAGGATGCCAAGGACACATGAAGAGCACACCACAGCCTGCGTGTTCAGGGGCTGTTTTCCATATGTCCATTCGTTTCTTTTGTTTAAGGCACCTGCCTAAGTTGGGTCATTTAGCACAAAGCCTTGTAAATAAAAGGAACTAGCAATGAAATAAAAGTCTTTACAGTTGCTTGAAAAGGGGACAAAGATATAAAAACTCTTTTATTATTTTTTATGTTTTTTTTTTTATAAGGTTTCTTTCTAACAGCCCTGGCTGTCCTGGAACTAGCTCTGAGACCAGGCTGGCCTCGAACTCACAGAGATCCTCCTGCCTCTGCCTCTCGAATGCATGCACCACCACCACCCAGCTGAAAATTATTTTTTTGCATAAATATCTAGAAATAAGAATTCTGAGTGTACTTTTCAAACTGAGTAAATATGATTCTTTAAGACCTTCATTATATATTCTATATTTTTAATGCCACAGAACTGATGTGAAGATGAGATTTTACAATTTCTAAATTACAGGAGAAATTCCATTCTCCTGGGTGTGGTAGTGCACACCTTTAATCCCAGCACTCAGGAGGCAGCAGAAGCAGGTGGATCTCTGTCAGCTTAAGACCAACTTGGTGTGAATAGTGAGATCCAGGATACCCAGGGTTATGCATGGAGACCATCTCTCAAAAGACAAAGAAGGAAAGGAAATGAAAAAAATGTTCTCGTTGGGTCAATTATGTCCTTCTAAAACAATTAAAATTAAAGCTGTGGATCAAAGAAGCCAACCAAGAGGCTAGCAGGGGTCACTTTTCTCTTAATCAATAGAACACTACTGTATAAAGCATGGACTGACAATGATTTGTTTCCAACTCCTTAAAGCCCCTCCTACACCACACTCCTCCCTCTCTAACACACATACACACAAATACACACACACACACACACATACATACATACACATATTCATACATACACACATACATACATACACATATACATATATACATACATACACACATACATACATACATACATACACACATTCATACAAATGAAATCACAAAACAGAGTGTGTCTTTCTTCTAATAGGATCCCTGGTGTGATGGGAATATGGCCAGCGTTGTTTTCTAGCAGTGGGAAGGGTGTCATGTGACCTGGAGCACCATACTGCATCCCTGGCATTTCACTGACCTTGCTCCCTTGCAGCTGTCTAAAGCCTTTCCTAAGCTGGGAATGACCATCTCCTAGCTCCATTGCCACCTGCCCTGCCACTCTGCCACCTGTAGCTCTGCCGTGAGCTCCATCAGTATCGATTCCCAAAGGCAGTTTCATCAGCATCCTCTCCATGACAGCCTGCAGTAACAGGTGAAAGATACCAACATCCATCAGCATCCTCTCCATGACAACCTACAGTAACAAGTGAAAGATACCAACATCCATCAGCATCCTCTCCATGACAGCCTGCAGTAACAAGTGAAAGATACCAACATCCATCAGCATCCTCT